AGTTTCCAACTTTACGTGTACAACCTCATGAATAAGGGAAATAAGGCTAAAAGATGCATAAAATGGGTAGATCTATGGTTAATATGCAAAGTAACTCCAAAAAGACAGTAGATCTGGGCTCTACAACACCCCATCATTCAGATCCAAAGATATTTCGACTTATTAAGACCTTCATGCAAGCATAAGGCTTGGAACAAGCATCAACTAGCTCTTAGGAGAGCTCTAATGAAAGTTTAAAGCATATAACAAGAAGGAAACTCCGAAAATACCTCAATTAACTCAGATTTGCCCTTGGATCTTTGCACTACAGCGCTTCTCCTTGCTCCTTTCTTCTTCTCCTTCTTCAAACCTTCACAAAATGGCACAAAACACTTAGCTCACACAACGGAGGATTAGGGTTCTTTCTCACAGTGTTCTCAGGGTGAGGGAGGCGAGAATGGGGGCTATAAGGTGGTTTAAATAGTGGGCAACCCCCGGGAATTTAGGGTTTCACCCAGACGGATGGACTCGCCGAGTCAGGGATATGGACTCGCCGAGTCCCCGGCTCATGCGTGCTCGAAGTTGCGACCCTACTCGGCGAGTCAGGCTAGAACTCGCCGAGTCCCTCTTGAAAACTTACAACTATTACCAATGAATTAACGTACCGAGAACGGGTCGTTACAAAATGCTAATGTTGAGGAGGAGATTTTACAAAATAATGAAAATTATCATGATGTTAATGATGTTTGTTCAATTGCAGGTTCAGATAATGATGAATTGTACGAAGATGCACCTTTGGACTTCGATCCAACTTATCCATCAATGGACAAATGGACAAAAGATCATCCGAAGGAGCAAATAAATCGTAATCCACAAGAGGGAGTTTCAACAACGGCTCAAATTTGTACAAAGAATGAGGTATTAAATACTCATCAAGAGTTTTGCATGTTCCATGTTTTTATCTCTAAAATTGAACCAAAGACAGTAAAGATTGCAATGGAACACTCAGATTGGGTTGTTGCAATGCAATCTGAATTGTCTGAATTTGAAAGAAATAAGGTTTGGAGATTAATTCCTAAGCCAAATGATGTTTCGATTGTCGGATTAAAATGGATTGTCAAAAAGAAAACTGACAAAGATGGAAATATCATTCAAAACAAAGCCAGACTTGTTGTTAAGGAGTACTCTCAACAAGAAGGACTTGATTACAAAGAAACTTAAGCCCCTTTCACAAGACTCAAGGGGGTTCGTGTATTTTTGGCTTATGCAGCTCACAATGACTTTGATGTTTATTAAATGGATGTGAAGTGTGCATTTCTAAATGGAGAACTCGAAGAAATTGTCTATGTGGAACAACCTTCAGGTTTTGTTAATGAAGAACACGCTGATTATGTTTATATCTTAGATAAGGTAATTTATGGTTTGAAACAAGCACCACGAGCCTGGTATGCAAGCCTTACTTCATTTCTAAAGCAATCTAAATTGAAACAAGGATCAGTTGACCCCACATAATTTCGTAAGAAAGTTGAGAATCATTTTATGCTTGTTCAAATTTATGTTGATGATATTATATTTGGCTCAATTGATCCTACTTTGTCTAAAGAGTTCGAAGATTTGATGAAAAGTAAGTTTGAAATGAGCATGATGGGAAAAATTAATAAATTTCTTGGTTTAAACATTCGTCAAAGAAGAGAAGGAATCTTCATTAATCAAGAAAAATATACGAAGAATCTGGTAGAGAAGTTTAGGTTAATGAATAGCACAAAGTTACGCGTTCCAATGGCAACTGGGATCAAACTAACTCCTTCGTCGGATGAACCTGCAATTGATCTTACTTTATACAGAAGCATGATTGGATCTTTACTATATTTGACTGCTAGTAGACCTGATATCATGTTTTCTGTATGTAACTGTGCTAGGTATCAAGCAAATCCATGAGAACCACATCTCACTGTTGTAAAGAATATATTTCGTTATCTTGAAGGAACTCCTTCGTTAGGATTATGGTATCCTTCGAATACAGGGTTCTTTGTTCAGGCATATTCGGATGCAGATTTGGGAGGTTGTAATCTTGACAGGAAAAGCACAAGTGGAGGATGTCAATTACTCGATGGAAAGTTGGTGAGCTGGCAATCAAAAAAGCAGACATATGTTTCAATCTCAACGGCTGAAGTTGAATATGTTGCTGGTGCTGCATGTACTTCATAGATAATATGGATTCAAAGTCAATAACGTGACTATGGAATTAACATGAAAAAGATTCCTTTATATTGTGATTCACAAAGTGCAATAAGAATTTGTCATAAACCTGTGCAACATTGAAAGACTTAACATATAGCTCTTAGTTATCACTTCATCAAAGATCATGTGGAGGAAGGAAATATTGAAGTACATTATGTGAAAACAATGGATCAGTTGGCTGATATTTTCATAAAAGCTTTGGATGAAAGATTGTTTGTACGAACTTTGGAAGGACTGAGAATGATTGATGGAAATTCAATTCCATGCGAAAAAGTCAAACAGTGATTACAAGAAAATGACAAAGAAAAATCATTAAGTGTTCAAAGGTTACTGTTCACAGTCAACTCTTTGAATGCTTCGAATTCGTATGATTGGTATTTTTATTAGCTGGATAAAACTTCGAATATTTGCAATGAGTACTTTTAATTGTTTTGTTCTTAATTTTTGAAAAAAATCAAAAACATCAAAAAGATTTTCTTATTATTTTGTTCTTAATTTTTGAAAAATCAAAAACAACAAAAATATTTTGTTTCTTCTTTCTTTTTAAATACTATGTTGTAGATTTTCATGAAGATACAAAGAGGATAAGGACTACAGTTCTAGGGTGAGGTACATTTATCATTCTATTCTTTGAATTTCAATTTTTTTACTAGTTAAGATGTCCCTAGCAACATGTTGTTGCATGTTGTCCGAAGCCTCGAAATGACTCAATGTTTGAAAGCCTTAATGAAATTTTCATACGAAGATTTCTTCCCAATTAGGCTTACATTCGCATTAGTACAATGAGCTACCTTACTCTTCTCACATGAGTTAAGAAATTATTGTTTGGTCCAATATAACAGAGGTACATGTTCCTTCGTATACCAATCTTTTTCATCTCCAAGTTCTTACACCATCACACACGAAGGCATATGTCCAAGAGGGTTCTGATCAAACCAATCGAAACTTAGATATATCAAAAATATGTGTTTATGATCAGACATCATGAGACCGTGATGGAAGTGAAACCCAATTTAATCAACCTTTAAGGAATTGACGGGGAACTTAGTTCCAGATTTTAACGAAACATTTGTTTCTGTACCTTCGTTCGAAACTCCAAATCATTTTCATTTCTTATGCGAGGTCTTGATCAAACATTCGAAATCCACCATGTTTGTTACCCAACAGGATCCATATTACAATTTTTTCCTTGAATATGATTTTAGTGTGAGTTTTATCTAAAATTCCATGTTACTTAAAAGTTTTTGAAAGCAAACTTGTCGCCGACTACATTGGTCAAACAAGTAATTTGTGTTACAATTACTCACCTTATGTTTAGGTTGATATATAACGAAATTCATTAAACCACCTCAAAAGAATTTTAAAAGAAGCCCTTCGATACTTATTTACAAGTATTCGATTGTAATTCACGGGAAAATACACAAGCTATTTATTATCTCTCTTGATAATTAACGAAGCAATCTTTGCCCGGGGTTTTAACTGCCTTCGTGTCAAAATAAAATTTTGACATCACTGACTATCCAAAATTTTTTATTAATTGCTTCTTATCTTTAATCTTTCACACTTGACACACACGAAATCCTTGAGGTTCTGAGTAATACCAATTCAAGCTGATGATTTCAAAAATTTTGAAAATGACTTTACTTTGAAACCATAAATTAAAAGAGCCTTGACTCCATCTGAAGGGTTCCGACTGTTACTATTCCGTTAGGGCAAACAATACAGGCTGTTTGAAGGGACTGTTTGAATTCTGTGCGGGTCGTGAGGAGACGTGACAGTTAATTTATCACGCATGGTTACTTTTTCATCATCATGATGCAGGTTTCTCGGTGACACATCACAGATCATTAAATTCTTATCCTGCTTTGATTTCAAAATTCAGCGTTACATATAAAAGGGGATTCAAGGTTCATTATCAGTTTACGCTTTCATATTCCCAAATTTTCTCTGATAATCATCCAACTCTCAAACCCTAACAATGGCGAATGCTAATCCTGATGCATCTTTGTCTCACGCCACCGATGATGTAACCTAATTTCCGATAATGAAGATTCAAGGAACAAATTATCAAGTTGAAGCAAACGTCTCTTACTATCCTAAAGAACTAAAAATACTTATTGTTGCTCTGAAAAGTTCCGTATTATCAAAAGCTATGTTCAACTCATTCTCTGTTCCTCTATCATGGTTCTCTCAAGTTGGATCAACAGAAACTTACTCTAAAGCCTTGGATACAATATTGTTTAATCTTGTGACTGATAAGAAGGTTAGACTCACAAAGAAGCTTTTCTGCCAAATTCTAGATATACCTAATTCTACGCCTTACGCCACTTTTACATTCCCACAAATAGTCCACATGTTCAATGAAATGGGTCATCAACCCCAATTGGCAAAAATTAGTGATTTCAAGAAGTCAGGACTTCCATGTGTTTGGAATTTTTTGTTTGGCATTTTTCTCAGATGCTTGACCGGAAGAACTGTTGGGTTGGATAAGCGGCGGATGGAATTTTATGCGATGGTTGCAGGTCTATACTACGATCTTCAGGTTGATTACTCTACTCAATTATGGAAGGAGTTATTGAAGAGTTTAGAGAACACGAATGTTATTCATGGCATTTCGTGTGCTCGATAATGGAGTTTGATCTTACAATATTTTTTTTGAGAAGGAAGGAATTTTGGTTCCGGAAGATGAAGAAAAGGTTGTGTTTCATGTTTATAGTTGTCCGAAGGATGCAACTGACAGTACTGAAGAACTTCCATTTGTTGCTCGCATTTCGAATGCTATGCTGAAAAGAGTTGATCCCACAACCACCGTTCTTATTACTTACTTACAAACAATTGATACTTCTGTTGAAACCGGGGTTCTTTTGGCTAGAGAAGAAGAAAAGAAGACTAAACGTTCGAAGAAGGTTGTTGCTGAATCTTCTAAGAATTCTGTGAAAGAATCTACATCAACAAATAGTCCAAAGAAACTACCAATCTCAGAGGCCGAGCCAATCCAACCAGAAATTGTTGTTGCTGATACCCCTTCGACTCAAAAGGAAATCATTCCTGCGAAGACTGGGGTTTTTCGCAGAATCAAAATGAAGTCTAAGCATAAGAGTAGATCACCTTTAACCAATGTTGTTCGCAAACCATAGGCTTCGCATCAAGGAGTCATTTTTCATGAGATTCCAGCCCTTGTTTCACCATCTTCTAAGAAGAGAAGTGCAACAGATATGCTAAACACATATCGAAGAAGAACAAGAAGAAGAAAAAGAAGAAGGTTAAGGTGATTATTTCGTTAGAGTCTACTACTGATGAAAATGAAACAATTCTAGAGTCACGAGAAGCTGATCTCCAGAAATATTCGTCTCATATTGCGTCAACTAATGTAATACCACCCGAAGTTTTGATTGCCAAGACATTTTCTATGGAGGCACAAACTTTTGACATTTTTGTAAACATATCTAATATGGATGCAAGTGTCACAATGGGTGAACATGCTTCGCACGTTGCAGACAAAGGTAAATCTTTGGATGTTACCCCAGATACATTTGTTTCTTTACCTTCACAGCTTACACCTATCATTCCTACTACATCCACAACCGATTCTCCTACATTTGAAAACATCATCAAATAACCATTCATATCTCTTTTTTCTTCACAATCAACTGATCCACCGACCACTACTTCACCAATAAAAGATTCTTCTTTCATGGAAACTAAACATGAGTATGAAGGTTTTGGCGAAACCTTTGAAAATTTAGAGTTTGGTGAAGAAGAGACAGACTTCCCAGATCATATGCTTATGACAATGAAACAGTTCAAGATATTGAATACAAAACTCAATTCAATTCTTCAGTATTAGGCTGATCTTGGGGGAGGTAATTAAGTGACCAGTCTTGAAGTAGATGGTATGCTAAAGATGGTTGAAGGGAGGCTTTCTTTGAAAGTGTCTGGAATGATAAAGGATTCTGAGTCTTGTCTTCTCGACAAAATTGATTTTTGTGATCAGAATAATGAGCTGTGGGTCAATGCTCAGAAATCTACATTTGAAGGTGATCTGAAGGAGTTAAAATCAATTGCAAAGGAGAGACATACTTTGTTTATTCAGGATGTGAAGAAGGTGAGAGAAGACGTGAATTATAAACTCCAAGAACTGAGACAAGATATGGAAAAAGAGATTGCAAATGTTTGTACCGAATTTGCATCTTTGAATTAGAAGGTGGATATAATTTGTGATGCGGTTACTAAATTTGCAAAGTTATACGAAAGTCTGAGTCCTCAAATTACTCAACTTTCTACAACTAAGAACAAAAATTTCATGGAGGTTTTCTTGTTGCTAAAGGAGCTTAAAACTTTATCTTATCCACCTACTCCATCTTCTCTGCTCTCCTTTGAAGATCTTATCAACAAATTTTCTCAATTCAAAGCCTTACTTCTTCAGCAATTGGCTCCTCTTTCCAGAATATCTAGCCTTCTTCCTACAATGGATGCCTTACCTGCTAACACAGGGGTGGAAGGAGGAGAAAAGAAAAATTGTAGGAAAGGTGTTTCCTTCCAAAATCCCAACATCAAAACCAGTGATAGCGACTACTGGTCCTATCACTTCAACAATAGTTACAACTGTGCCAATTACAAGACCAAATTCTAAAGGAATTGTGATTGGTAAATCTATTGACACTGGTAGAAGAGAAGTGATAGATGAATCTGGTTCGAAGGCATGGGGAAAGTCAATACTAATCAAAAAATCTGAAGAAGAGAAGAAGGCAGAGGCTGAAGCAGAAGTAGAGAAGATGAGGATGATTCAAAGCATCATGACTCAAAGGGCCAGTGATCCTCCTAACATGAACAAGAGTGATTCATCAAAGAACTACAACTATGAAAAAATTGAAGCCAAGGTTGCATTCAATCATATGTATTCATTTGAGAAGAAGCCTAAACAGAGTTATATTGGCACGAATACGGATGCAAGCTAATTGGACTTTCCAATTAATGAAATGATGTTCATCATGCCTCAATTTAAAGCAGAAAGAAAATTCAAGGAGAAGGATGAAGGCACACAAATGAAGATAAGATTTCATGTGGTTCTTGCCAAGCCTGCAGAAGAAGTATGGTCCTTAGTCAAGATTAAAAAGGTCATAAGTATAAAGAAGGATGTGGTTTTCGAAAACACAGTCCAAAACATGAAACATATTGTGACCAGGGCAAATGGAAATGTGTGTGAGTTTACAATAGCAGACTTTCCTTTGATGAACTTGTATGATCTTATACAAGTTGCATTAATGCTGAAGGAAAGATCATTTTCATATTTCAAAACACAGAGCCTGATGAGTACAAGTTAGGAGTAACTCACATCAAGATTTTTATCAAAAAATATTATGAATGTTTGGCAATGACTGATGTGGATTTGGATACAACTAAAGGTCCGGAAATTACAGCACCAATGGCTCCTTTGAAGACTCAAGAAGACTTGAAGAAATATGCAGATGGTGAAGAATGCTTGAAGACTTTTGGCTTAGTCTTCTTTGGGAAGGACAAGTCAGGAAAGTCAAAGAGATTTTTGTTCTAGGAAAGTGAGGTTGAAAGATATTCTACTTCGCAATATACGAACTTGATTGTTCCTATGAAACATTGCAAGAAGAATAATGAAGGTGACAATGAGGAACTAAAGTAGATTATCTCTTGGTATACTGAGATACAAAGAGTAATGTTGTACTCCATTCAACTACTTACAAACTGAAGTCTTCAACTCTGTTTACAAAGGGGGAGAAGGTAAGGGTAGTTTGGTTGTAAAGAGTCGAAGTCTTGTATGTATTCTTCATATGTTTTGTTATCTATTTTACTAAGTCATATTATTCGAAGCTTTGATGTCTAGTCCTTAGTATATTTTGTGTACACTTTTACTCTCCTATAAATAGGAGTCTTTACTAGAGTTAGATAAGGTTTTTACAGACTTGTCTACTTTTGCACTCTGTAAACCTAAAGCATAATATTGATCTGAATCAAGATCTTATTTACATCGGTGTTCAATCTTTCATACAATGTTTGATTACATACTCTGATTAATATTCAAACTCGATTCTTAGATTTTACAACCGCCTCAACCAACCCCCAACCAAACAAACATGTGCACATAAGTATCATACTCTAGCTCATATCATGTAACAGTCAAACCTATCTAACGGATCACTAATCATAGAAACAATCCTAACCAGGATACCGACCTAACCGGTCACTAACATATCATCATCCTATATACCAGGATACCGACCTAAACCCGGTCACTAACATAATACTGTCATAATTTACTAAAACGCTGATATAACCGATCAATACGCATTTCAACAAATAAAAGTATAATATCCAAGAAAAGGGCTGGCCTTGGTGCCTTAGACCCTGTGGATATAATGAGGATAACTCACCTTGCAATGCCAGAATTAACCATGAAATCATGCTCCCGAAACAATGCCCCAAACTCTAACACGTATAACCATCAAATATCCAATTCATAAACAGCCGCTTACCAATTATCCTCAATAATCAAAACAATCAACCCTTGGTCAAAGTCAAAGTCAATTATCAAGGTCAACAGTCCATGTTGACCTCAGCTCGTTGAGTACCCTTAGTTACTCGCCGAGTTTCTTGCATTACTTGCCAACACGCCGAGTCACCATGCCACTCGCCGAGCCCCAGGCAATCTTCATCGGACTCGCTGAGTTGTTCATCCGACTCGTTGAGTTCATGACCATCTTCATGTGACTCGCCGAGTCTACCATGCGACTCGTTGAGTCCCTTCAGTCTTTCATCCATACAGATGCTTTTTAAGCCATGCTTAGGCTCCAAACTACAGATCCAACTTCCTAAGGAATGCTTATCATGTAAAGTTGCAAACTTTACGTGCATGCAAGGCTCTATTTACTAAAAATGCCAAAACCAAGCTTGAAATGGGGGTTTACACTTAAGGAGGGGTTCATGCTTGCCAATGCTGATAGCTTTATGGACTTACAAATAAAATAGAGTTCATACCTGAAGTTACAACTTCATATCTGAGCTCATACCTAATAATATCTTCACAACCAAGCCAAGAATCCCTAACTTCATCTAAAGAGATTTAGAAAGGAATGAGGCCAAAATCATGAATGAATACCTCAAATGAAGCTAGCTGAGATAGACTTCAGCCCCACAAATGTTCTTGCCTCCAACTTGTTGATCTTCAAGTTCCTTGCATCAAGGTCTTCTTTCCAATCTTGCAATTTACACTAATATGGAGCACACACACAAATTAGGGCTTCTGGACTCTCAAAAGCCTGCAAATGAACTAAGGGAGGCTAATGATTCCTTAAACAGGGTGCCAAACCCCGTGAAATTAGGGTTTCACCCTCTAACTCCAACTCGTGGAGTCACTCTTCCGACTCAGCAAGTTGGTCACTTAAAGACGTGGCCCAAACCCGCTCCTACTCGACGAGTCAGGCAACCAACTCATCGAGTACATCTTGAATTCATGAGAATTTATAACCATAAATTGGTATTCGAGAATCGGGGCGTTATAATTCTCCCCCACTTAAACTAGCCTTCGTCTTCAAAGTCTGCTGCAGCGAAAATCCTCATGTAGTGCTCCCGCAACTATGCCTCCGGCTCCGACACCTTCTCGGACCCTATTTGGTGCTCTCACTAAACCCTTACCAAACATACCTTCTTGACTTGCAGAACCTTCAACCTTCTCTCCAGAACGGCCACAAGCCTCTCCATAAAATCCATGCGCTTACCAACCTGAATGCCATCCAACGATACTACCACATCCTGATCCATGATGTAATTTTGCTAGTGTGAATCGTGAAAGGTGATGTGAATCACAAACGAACCTTTTCATAAAGTACTATTCTTCATGCCACCTTGCCACCTTGACAAAATCCTGATGGTCCAAAGTATCAGAAACCCAACTTTCCCTTTTTCCTGGAGTGAACCCTCTTCGTTGACATGATAATGCATCCCTTGGTTCTCAGAATATCATACATAATCAATCCACTAATGAATACGAACACTTATGCCTAGCCCAAAGAGCCTCGGGCTGGAATACCAGGCGAGCCTGCGACGGCTCCAATCATCCCTATGAGGGAATACCCTCGTATCCCTCACATGTTTGGCCCAATCGACC